GGCTCCGGAGGCCCAGGAGACAGCTGATACAGAAGCTTTGGAGGTCCCCCCACTAGAATAGAGTCTTTTGTAATGGCTTCGGTCTCCTTGTACTTCAATTTCCACTGAATGAAATGAAATTTTTTGCTAAATGTTTATGCTTTTGCTTTCTTTCCTTTTAGATCTATTTATACTTGTTTGAATGACAAACATAGGACTAAGCACCGTGTAACAATAACCAGTTAATAATTGAGGATCAAACCACTTAAGTTAATATGAAGTGGACCACTTAAGGAAACATGAAGAGCCTCTCAACGATAATCAGTTAATAATTGAAGATCGGATCACTTAAGTAAACATATTGAAGGACTGAGGAAACTATTTACTAATCGATGCGGCACAGAACCGAAGTTTCACTACTTGAGATAAATTACACCATTTTACCAAGGCAATTCCCGCACTTAGTGAGCTGGGGAACTTACGACCGAGACCATATCAGAACAATCGATTCATTAGACCATATTGAGATCAGATCGGAACAAAGGCTCATCATTGATAGTACTTCCTCGAGTGTTCGATGTTCCACTGATGAGGCAGTGCCTTTCCTGCCATGTCTTCAATTTCGCACCGATGAGGCAGTGCTTTTCCTGCCATGTCTTCAATTTGGAAAGTACCAGGTCGGGATTCCCTGCGGATACGGTAAGGGCTCTCCCAGTTCGGGCCAAACACTCTTGACCCGGTTGGTTTTGAAGGTTGGAAGACTCTTCTGAGGACGAGGTCACCCAGGCGAAGAGTTCTGTTTCTGACCTTGGAGTTGTAATAGCGGGTCATCTTTCAATGATACTTTTCCAAGTTCACTTGGGAGGCATCCCTCCTTTCCTCAAGGAGGTGCAGTTCGCTTATTCGAGCCTCGTCGTTGCTGATCTCATTGAAGTGTATCTGTCGGTGTGATGGGACCCCGACCTTGACCCGGCTCATGGCCTCGGCTCCGTAGGTCATGGAGAATGGTGTTTCACCTTTTGCAGTTCGGCTAGAAGTTCCGATAGCCCAGAGGACGTGGGGGAGTTCGTCAACCCAGGCCCCTTTGAGGTGTCAAGCTTCCTTTTTAGGGTGTGCTTGATAGTCTTGTTCACTGCTTCAACTTGCCCACTTGCTTGGGGGTGATGAGGTGTTGGGAAGTCCTTCTTTATGCCTAGTTCATCGCATAAGTCTCACATCTTCCTGTTGTCGAATTGCATTCCATTGTCAGACACTAAGGAGTGGAGAATTCCGAACCTGCAAATGATGGTCTTCCAGACGAATTTGGTAGTATTCACCTTGGTGATCCTGGCGAGGGGTTCAGCCTCGACCCATTTAGTGAAGTAGTCAATGGTGACAATGGCAAAAGTTGCACTTCCTCTTCCTTTTGGGAGTGGACCAATGAAGTCAATGCCCCACTTGATGAATGGCCAAGGGTTGGTTACTACCGAGAGGCTCTGAGCAGGCTGTCTTTGTATGTTTGAGAAGCGCTGGCACTTGTCACATTTTTGGACAAATTGACAAGCATCCCTTTTCAGGGTCGGCCAGAAGTAGCCTTGATGGAGAACTTTGTGTGCCAGAGCCGTTCCTCCAGAGAGATTTCCGCATATTCCTTCGTGGATTTCCCTGAGTATGTACGTAGCCTCTTCGCCTCCCACGCATTGAAGAAGGGATGAGGCGAAGCCTCTCTTGTAAAGAGTATCTTCTTGCAGAACGAAGTGTGCAGCCCTTCTTCTTAACTTCCTCGTCTCGCTCCTAGAAGCAGGCAGAGTTTGATCCTTCAGGTAGGCGATGATAGGCTGCATCCACAATAGGGTGCCTTCTATCCATAGTACCTCTTCACCTCCGGAGGTGGAGGGCTTTGATAAGTGCTTAATAGGGACGACCTTTAGCAGCTCTGAATCCTTGTTGCTGGCCAATTTTGAAAGGGCATCTGCATGTACATTCTCTAGATGGGAGACTTGAGTCAGTTCGAACCTTTCAAAATGAGGAACTATGTCCAAAACCAACTTCAAGTACGCAATTATGCTACCATCTTTGGTTGTAAAGTTTCCATTGACCTGGTTCACTACAAGTTGAGAGTCACTGCTCGTCAGGAGCCTTCTGACCCGAATCTCCTTAGCAAGTCTAAGACCTGCCAGAAGGGCCTCGTATTCAGCAGCGTTGTTCGAGGCTTTGAAGTCGAACCTTACTGCACAGTTTAGCTTGTGGCTTTCCGGGCTTTCCAATACAATTCCTGCCCCTAAGCCAGTCTCTCCTGAGGACCCATCTACGAACAATTTCCATGTGGTGGGCTTGGCTGGTTCCATTATTGCCTCCATTTCTAGGGCTTTGACAAACTCAACCACAAAATCAGCAAAGGCCTGACCCTTAATGGCGTGTCGAGGTCGGAACGTTAGATCGAATTCGCTGAGCTCGATTGCCCATTTTAGCAGGCGTCCTGATGCGTCTATTTTCTGCATCACCTGCTTCAGTGGGAAGTTGGTGAGAATTAGAATTGAGTGGGCCTGGAAGTACGGCCTCAGTTTTCTTGAGGTTGTGATAAGGGCGAGCGCCAGTTTCTCCATGTCTGGGTAGCGTGTTTCATCTAGGAAGAGTGCTTTGCTGACGTAATACACTAGCAACTAGCGCTCACTTTCTTCCCTAACTTGGACGGCGCTGACCGCCACATTCGAAAATGCTAAGTACAGCCGTAATGACTCATCCGGTTGAGGTTTCGACAAGAGAGGCGCCTCTCCGAGGTGCTTTTTTAGCGCCTGGAAGGCTTTCTCACATTCTGAAGTCCGTTGAAAGTTCTTTCCTTGTTTCAGCATATTGAAAAAAGGCAAGCTTTTATCTGTGGCCCTGGAGATGAAGCGACTGAGTGCGGCTATCCGACCATTGAGGCTTTGGACCTCCTTTGGTTTCTGAGATGACCTCATCTCTAGCAAGGCCATTATTTTCACTGGATTTGCTTCAATTCCTCTTTGATTGATAATATACCCCAAGAACTAACCCGATACCACTCCAAATGTGCACTTGAAGGGATTCAATTTCATATTATACTTTCTAAGTATCTGAAAAGTTTGGTCGAGGTGACTGACGTGTTCGGCTGCCTGGAGGCTTTTGACTAGCATGTTGCCCACGTAGACCTCCATGGTTTTGCCAATGAGTTTGGTAAACATCATGTTGACCAATCTTTGATATGTAGCTCCGGCATTCTTCAATCCGAAAGGCATGATTTTGGAGCAATACAAACCTCTGTCCGTAATGAACGATGTAGCTTCCTCATCAGGTCGAAACATGGGTATTTGGTTATACCCTGAGTATGCATCCATGAAGCTCAATAGTTCATGTCCAGCAGTAGAATCCACAAGTTGATCTATTCTTGGAAGTGGGAAGCTATCTTTAGGGCATGCCTTATTTAAGCTTGTGAAATTCACGCATACCCTCCACTTTCTGCTGGGCTTTTGCACCAGGACCGGGTTGGATAACCACTTTGGGTAGATGGCCTCCCTTATGAAACCACTGCGGCTGAGTTTGTTCACTTCGTCTTTCAGTGCCTCGTACCTTTTCGGATTGAGGGCACGCCTCTTCTGTCTATGGGGGGCACAGGAGGGGTTGATATTAAGGTGATGGCAACTGATCCTAGGATCTATTCCCACCATATCTTCATGCTTCCATGTGAAGACATCCAATTTCCTTTTCAAGAAGCTTATCATCTCTGCTTTCGCTTCAGGGGACAATGACTTTCCTATACGCAAGACCTGACTGGGGTCTTCTGGGTTAGCGGGAAAAGTCTCCAATTCTTTCATTGGGGTCGCATTTGGTTCAGAGTCAATTATTCAAGGATCTAACTCATCAAGAGGGTGTCCTTGTTCAGGGCCTCTTCCATGTCAACATCTTCCTCTTGTTTAGAGGTATGCCCTTGTTCAGGGCAGGCCCGGTCCTGGGCCGAGGTGAATGAGGCCTGCGCTTCAGGCTCAAGTTCTTAGGGGGCATCATTTTGGCCCTTTTTTTTTTTAGTTCAGCAAGCCCAAATGAAATGTCCAATCCAATAACTAAATCAATCCCAACCCAACAATCCATTTACTCATAAATCCCAACCTAACAATCCATTTATCCAAATCCAAATCCAACCCATTTACCTAAATTCCCAAATCCGAAAATTCATATCAAATGCACCGAGTGTGTGTCTTCTTCGACTTTCACGACTGTCACTCCACAGTCAGGTCACCATCACTCCCTTCTCCACAGTGACACAGTCTGGTGAGTCCACCACGAATCTGTCTTGGCCCATCTTCTGGCTTCTGCTTCTGTCTCCGACTTCGCTACTCACCTCAGTCGCCTACTCCACACTCCGCAGGACCACAGGTCGCAGCCTGTAGGTCCACCGTCCGCACTCCACAGCCCACAACCCACTGGACCACAGAAATCCCCTTCCCTCTGCTACACTGGCACACGTACTTGATGCAAGGTTGTGAGATTTTACAATTTTTGAATTTTATTTTTGTTTTCTCATTCTATTTTGGAAAAATTTACGATTTACTGATTTTTTTTTTTTTTACAGTAATTGAAAAAGAAGAACCAGAAGCCCCTCTACGAAGCTAAGCTTTACTGAAAGTTTAAAGAAGGTACTTTTCATCTCTCACTTTATCTTAAAGCGTGTGTGAACAGGCGTGAATTGGTATATATAAAAAATAATTTGCGTTTTCCTTTTCCAATATTATGATTGATTGATTAATTACAACTATGAACCGGTGAATGATTTTTGGGTGAATGTAGAATTGATTAATTTCTTTTTCTATCTCATCTGTGAATATGTTCTTAATGGTCTCAGGCATGCAATCAAATTGTGTTGATAAATGAGGCTTTCTCATGTTGCATTTAATTATGTGTTGATCATAGTTGATGAAGAGAAGATAAGATTTAATATAGGTTTAGCAGTGTCACTAATCGATGTAATTACTTTATCATTTTCCATTGCTGCATCTTAGAGTTTGAAATCAATAAATTGGAAGCATATGTTTGCATCTCAAGATCCTATTAATAGCTGTGAAAGGATGTACTCCTATTCTCTTTAGCTTCCTTGTTTAAAATGTGAGAAAGTATTCTAACCTCCTCAAGACCTCTTTCTGATTTGTTATTTCTTTCATTTTAATCCATCATATACTTGTTATTTCCTTACACGTTTCTTTTTGCTATGCTGGAGTATCGTTGACACAATCCAAAAATTGAGATCAGCTTACCACCAGTTCAGAAAACGGGATCATTCTCAAAGGTGTAATTCCATAATTTTCGTCAAAATTTCACTTATCAGGTAAGCAATGACTTACCCTAAGTTTTTATTGAAGAGATTGGAAGTGTTTGAAGCCTTGTCGATTTATATAATTGCAGCCTGGACGACTTATATGATTACTTATTGTAGGATGAACAATTGCACATGTGCACGTAGTAACTATATTGGAAACTATAATTGTGAGATGATTGAGTTATTTTGTAATTGTTTTTTAGGCTAATCAAGAAAACGAAATGAAATTGCATTAATTTAAAGTCAAGCAAGGGATATTAACAAGTACTTCAAAAGAAACAATGTGAATGCGTTGAATGAGGATGAAGTAGAGATTCAATCTACCCATGTTAATGAAATAGATGATAAGGATGAAGAAGTGAGTCAACCTACTGATGTTAACGAAGTAGATGATAAGGAAGAAGAAGTGATGAAGCCCGCCTCTAATAATGAAGAAGATGATAAGGAAGAAGAGAGTTGCTTTTCTCTAAATTTGGATGATCCCGGGAATTGAAAAATTATTGATCAAAGAACAAGCGATTACTTAGTTGAAAGGGGTCCAAAAAGAGTTGATGACATCTCGTTTCCGAAAGACTATACAAATAGTATTTCGATTCTTCACAATATAAGCGATTGCTACCTAATGGGAAAACAATTGATAGAAGATGGCTAGTATATTCAGTGTCTATGGACAGGATCTTCTACTTTTGTTGCAAGTTGTTTAAAACACCAATAAATGTGACAAAAGTTGTCCAACTAGGTAATGATGGATTCAAAGATTGACATAATTTGCATCGGTCTATTAAAAGTCATGAAGGAAATGAGGAGCATTTACGTTGCATGACTAGTTGAATTGAATTATAAAATAGGTTTCGATCAAAAACTACAATTGATAAAAGCGTTGAATTGTTGATTGATGATGAAAGAGAACATTGGAGACATGTATTAACAAGGATAATCGCTATTGTTAAAAGACTTGCGAAAAACACATTGCCATTTCGAGGAGATGATGAGAGGCTACATGTTGAGAACAATGACCTATTTTTACAAATGGTCGAAATGGTTAGTGAATCTGATCTAGTAATGCAAGAGCCCCTTCGACGGGCTAAAGCAAGAGAGATTCAATATACGTATCTTGGCAAAAAGATTCAAAATGAGTTGATACAGTTGTTGGCTAATCAGGTGAGAAGTTCAATTGTCAAGAAAGTTAAAGATGCAAAATATTTCGCAGTTATACTTGATTGTACTCCAATGCAAGTCAGGAGGAGCAAATGTCTTTAATTGTACGATTTATAGATAATTTGGCAAACTTACCTACAGTTCAAGAACATTAGCTAGAAGAAGGTAGATGACACAACAGGATTTGGACTTGCAACCGAGCTTCGAAAGGCTTTTATAAAAATTGATCTCGATATTGATGACATTAGAAGGCAAGGGTATAACAACGAAGCTAACATGAGCGGGAAGCACAAAGGTGTGCAAAGAAGAGTCCATGAAATGAATCCCCGAACTATCTATACTCCATGTGGCGCTCATAATCTAAATCTAGCATTATGTGATATGGTGAACTGTTGTTCCAAAGCTGTATCCTTCTTCGGAGTGATACAATGCATCTACACATTGTTTTCCTCTTCTACCAAGAGATGAAATTTTTTCAAAGATAATGTACAAAGGTTGACAGTGAAGCCATTGTCACAAACACGTTGGGAAAGTTATGTTGAAAGTGTAAAGCCTATAATGGAGAAACTGCATAGATAAGAGATGCATTACTTGATTTGGCAGAAAGTAATGAAGATCCTAAAGTGAAGAGTAAAGTTGAGTCATTAGCAACACATGAACTTCAAAATTTTGAGTTTTTGTTTGGCATGATAATTTGGTACAGATTGTTGCATGCTGTCAATATTGTGAGTAAATTTCATCAAACCGAATCAATGGATATTAATCATGCTATTGACCTCTTGCAAGGACTTGTTTCATTTCTTGAAGAATACAGAGAAATTGGATTTGCTATTGCCAAAGATGAAGCGACAAAAAAGGCAAGCGAAATAGGAATTGAAGCTATATTTACTGAAAAACGCATAATTCGAAGAAAAAACAATTTGATGGAAGCAGTAGTGATGAGGTAAAGCAATCAGCAGAAGAATCTTTTAGAGTTGAGTACTTTATTTTTATAATTGATCAAGCTCTATCTTCTCTGAGGACCTGATTTGAACAATTCAAATAATATGATGACACATTTAGATTTTTGTTTAATTTGAAGAGGTTAAGGGGTGCAACTTTTTCAAGTTTGTTAATCTCTTGTTTGAATCTTGAGAAATATCTTCAACATAATGGGCATTTGGATATCAGTGGGGATGATTTATGTTTGGAGTTACAAGTCTTGATGTGTTCTATACCAAGTGAAGTAACAAGAGCAATTGAAGTGCTACAATATTTGAAGACATTGGATGTTTATTTTTCAAATGCTTATATTGCTTACCAAATTTTGTTAACCATACCGATTACAGTTGCATCTGCGGAAAGAAGTTTCTCGTAATTAAAGTTGATCAAGACCTATCTCCGATCAACTATATCGCAAGAAAGATTAAACGAGTTGGCTATGTTATCAATAGAAAAAGAAATGGTTGAGCGGCTAAGTTATTCATATTTGATTGATATTTTTGCCTCTAAAACAGCAAGACGAATAGTATTTAACTAATTGTTTGAAATTTTTAGTTTGATGGTTTATAATATAAATCGTTTCTATGATATATTTCGTTATTGTTTTAATGTTAGTTTTTTAAGTTAGCAATAAGTCGCATAATACACCTTTGAATTTTGTCACTGGTGGGCCTACTTTTCATCGTTCGCCTCAGGGCCCATCAGACATAGGACCGGCTCTGGTTCGGGGGCGTCGAGTATTTTCACGTCCGTACTGACTTCAGCAGGAACCTCAGTTAGGATTACATTAACAGTTCAGGGCTCATACTTTCACAGTGAGTTTAAGTAGCATGCCCTGGAGCCCATCTGATCGCCTTGGACCGTAGCAATCCCATGTTCAGTTGGAAATTTCATGCACAAGTAGTGGATGGATGTGACAGCCCAAAGATCTTTCAAAGCGGGTCTGCCCAATACTCCATGATAAGCCGATCTGTGATCTACCACTAAAAATTACATGAAGTGTTGGGCCACTAGGGGTGCTAAACCCATCTCAACGGGCAGAGTGATTCGCCCTCGTGGGACGATGCTGTCTCCAGTAAATCCGAATAGTGGATCGTTCATGGGGATCAACCCATGTTCAATTTGCATTTTGTCAAAAGTGGAGTCGAATAATATGTTAATGGAACTGTCATTGTCAACGAGCATACGTTTCAATCATTTTCTAGCCACTACGGCTCTTACAACCAATGCATCACAATGGGGGTGGTGAACCCCCTTTGTGTCTTCCTGGGAGAAGGTAATTAAGGCCATCCTATCGGTTGCTTGCGACTCGTTGACAATGTAAGTGATCATTGGTGGGTCCTTTACTTCCCTTGTGTAATTCCTTTGGGCATTCCTGGTGTTGTTACCGATGTGGGGTCCCCTAATGATGGTATCGATTTCCCTGATGATCTGACTCCTAGAAAATGGGGCCTAGTTTCTCTGTCTGGATTGACCTCGATCCCTTGATTCTCTTCTCCAAGGCGATTGCTCTCTGTGCCCTCTCTCCCCCTTGCTCGGGGAGACGGATCTGCGAGGATATTCGTTCCTGCTGGAAGGGTGTGGGTTGCTTCGATCAAGGTGTCGATTGGCGTCTCGGCACTCACTAGTGTCATGCCCATAGAGTTGATGGAACATACAAAACCTTGCCCCTTACAAGGGTCTGTTTGACCTTTTCTTCTTCTTCTTCTTGTTATCAGCTCTTCCAAATAGTCCTGCTTTGGCAGGGGCATATGCCAACACCGGTACTGCATTCAATGTGGCCGAAGCCAAGGCCTGTCTGGACGTGGGAGCTATTGTATGACCTGCTTGGGTCCATTGCTGAGTAACAAGGTGTGCTGCGGGTTCTCGACCTACCTACCTCTGAGGCGGAGGGAGTCCCTGCGCGACACGGTTGCAATGATCAATCATTTCTTCACTCACAATTTTCACTCTTATCATTTCCACCAGTTCGTCATATGTGGGGGGGATTCTTGCTGCACACGTCCCTCCAGAACAAAGTGTTCATGTTGAGCCCGCCTTTCAAGGCTGAAAGGGCTTCTCTGTCAGTAACCTGTTCACAGTAGGTGATTTCGTCTGTAAACCTAGCGAGATAGCTTTTCAGCGTCTCCCCAGAGGCCTGCCTCATATCTTGCAAGCATTGCACTGGTGTCTCTCATTCTCTGCGTGAGAGGTATTGGTTCAAAAATGCTTTCTTCAAGTCTGGCCAACTTTTAATGCTTAGGGGACGAAGCCTACTATACCACACTTCGGCGGCTCCACCCAGTGTTAAATGGAAGGCTCTGCATTTCAAAGCAGGCAAGGCTTCCCTGAGACTCATTTGTGTTATATACTTGGTGAGGTGCTTCTCCGGGTCTCCCTTCCCTTCATACTTGGACATCTTAGGGGACATAAAATTTGCTGGCATTGGGAAGCTTCGGATCTCCCTTGAGAAAGGGAGGTTATCATTGTCATCGTTAATCTCATAAGACCGACAGGGCCCATCTGACCCTTCATCATCTTGAATGTTCTGGGGACGTGGAGGTGCTTCTACTCGACTCCCCCAATCTACTAGGTTCCTCCTGTCCCTCCTATTTCTAGTAGGAGAAGGAGCCTATTCTTGTTCCTGATCTGGCCGAATTGATCCTTTCACTGGGCAGACCCTATTGCTAAGACCCTCCCCTATCCAGTCAAGACACTTACCGACCTCTGTTCCTTATATTCTTGAGGGAAATTATCCCCCAAGTGTGGTTCTGAGGGCTGGTTCCCTTGCATATAAGATGTGGCTTCGGCGTCCATTTCTCTTTCGAGGGGGCGTTCTGTGTGCCGGCTCATATGGCCTCGTGAGCGAGATACGAGGGCTTCCTGCACTGGATAAGATCCTTGTGGCACTTGATAGCCCTGATGACCCTGGGCTTGCATGAGAAGTTCATGCATCGCCAAATTCTGAGTTGCGATGTCTCTCATACCCGCAGCTATTTAAGTCATTCCTTCAGTGAGCATGGATGTTCTTCCACCTCGGCGATGCCGGTGATGTGGTCTCTGATGAGTAACATTGTTATGGAGTATCTCTTCTTCAGATGCCTCTCTCATGGGGTTTTCGCCTTCATGGCTATAGCTCATCCTATCTCCTTTTTCAAAGGTGGTGAGAACTTGGATTGTAACTCGACTTTGTTCTTTTTCAAAAACGTGCCCTTTTCAGGGTTAGTCGCTAGTTTTTCGGTGACTTCTCCGGTGGAGAATGTCGAACTTTGAACTGGAAGTGTTTCCCACAGACGGCGCCAATCTGTTGACCTCGAAAATTGGACTTTCCACGTGGCCAACCGATAGCTACTCCACGTATTCCTCCCTGCGAACAATCAACGCACGGTCAGACGCACAAGGCCGAGACCAGCGGGTGTAGTGGCGGCCATATACACTCCGACGATCAAGTCAGGTTTAGGTGGTCGGAACAGTAGCCAGGGGTTGTTCAGAATAATAATAAGGGGGAGGAGAAAATATATAAACTTGTTATGGAGTACTATGTAGTAAGAGTTTCATTATATTTGCCTCTTGCCAAACCTTGGGTATTTATAGGTGGGATGAACCGTTGGATGTGGGACACGTGTATACATCTGACAGTATGAGGCGTTCGCTCGTAGGCGTCAATCAGCCGCGTCTGTAGAGTGGGCATGCAGCTTGTTCCTCCTGAATTGAATTGACATAAAGTTGATAAGTCACATTAACTAGCCTCATGGAGACGTCAAATCAATTTAAACCTTAGGTGCAGAGAGGATCTTGGCACAAATCTCTTTCTGAAATTGGGGGCGAATCTTCTGACAGGGGTCCACTTGGCCTCGGCCTCGGAGGCGAGGAGCTTCGGTCAGTTCGGTAGGATCGCCTATACCTCGCAGTGTGCTACAAGGTTGTTGACATTGGTGATATCACTTTGGAAACACTTCGTACGGGTGTCTATCAGGGCGGAATGTGTGGTGGTGGGCGTTCCGAAGTAGTTCAGACAGGGGCGTAACAGTAGCCATCATATCATTCTTGTTTCGTTCCGATTTTTCAGAATGTAGGGTAGGTTGAAACATAAAAAACCATCATTCATCATTTTATTTATTTAAATAATTTTTTAAATATGATTTAAGTGAAGAACACAACAATAAAATATAATATAATAATGAAAAATGATTCAGAGCTAGTACTAAAAATTCGAAACTATGGACTATAGGTTTTGCATCCCACCCCGTTTACTATTCAAGGTAGGACAATGTGGGATGGGGCGCGATCAGTGCCGGTTCTGTGATTTTGGGGGCCCGACGTGAACTTCATATAGTAGGCCCCCCTCCAAAAAAGACAAAAAATTGTATTATGCATGCAAAATAGGTGACTACGTGAGCAATTTTTCAATGTCTTCATTGGTTCAAATTCCCAAATAATGCTCTATTCGAGACCTCTCTCTTTGGCCTTTGTTCCATTAAAACTCTTGTTCACTGGATTTTCAAGCAGTTTATTGTTTAATGAAGATTACCTATCAGAGAGGAATGAACTCACAACTAAGATTCCTACACATCATAGAATCGAAACAATGCACAAATTCTAAGAATTTAATTCAACAACCTAGTCACAATGCTTAAAAATAAATCAAGGAAAATACAACTTATATAATTTAGACATGCCCTTCATAGACTTAAAGAAAATATCATTTTTAAGACTGTCGTCTCACTAGATCATATCATACAAAGAACGAATAGATCAAATTATAAGAACTAATGTAGATCTAGTTTATTGGGATTATCGAATAAATATAGCAATAAATAGAATAGAATTATTAAAAAAGATTAACATAGCCCGAGTTTCTTAAGGAAAATGCTTCCTTTGTTTTTGTTATTCGTTGAAATTGGGGTAGGTGGTGGGAAGATTTGGGAAAAAAATGGTAGTCTAGTGTATTGCAGACATTGTAGACATTCTAATTTCTACCCAATACCCACGGCCACAGTCCATAGTACCCAGAATTGAAACTCCATCTTAATTATCACCAATAATAAAGTAATTGAGTGACTGTTGTAATCAAATTAGCATTGTATAATACCATTGCAACTATTAAAGGTCTCAAAAGGATCATCAGGCCAACACTCAACAATTCTCAACAGAGTTGCAGATTTATCTTCTTAAATATTGTGACCAGTAAAAGGTATAAATTAATGGCATACTTAGTTACAAATTTTGTAAGAGAAATCACATTGAAATTTGAAATAAAAGGTAACCAAACATATTCAGTACAAAAAATAGAAGTTTTTGATTTCTTAAATATACACAAATGTTCTCCTAAAGTTATTGCCTTACTGGCCAATGAAAAAAAGAAGAAGCTATATGCTTGAATTATAAAGACAAATTTCAA